TTCTGAAAGTGCCTGTGAGAACTCTGAAACGCCACTTCATTTCTAATGGTCTCCTTAAAATCCAGTGCTACCCTGAATTCTAGTGTCTATCTCTGATTTCAAACTCACAGAAATCCTCTGTGTCTGCATATTATAATTGTCAAGATTTGTTTCTTTCTTTCTTTTTTTTTGTGAGTGGCAACTGTTTTCTGAATACACACAGGTGTGTATATGCACCATGAGCTATATGCAAATACATTTGTGTTTATAGTGTGTGTGTGGTGTTTGGGTGACCTCCAGCGCCCCGTGAGCCAGCCTAACGTTGGCCTTGAACCCCTGCCCGTCCTGCCTCGTCACTATACTTAGCAGATGCAGCTTTTTCTCTCTCACTAGAGAAGTAATGATTCTTTGTTATTATTATTATTATTTTCCCTGCCAGAGGAGCTGGGAAAAGGTAGGGTTTGTTTTGTTTTCTGTGGTGCCAAGGGTCAAATGTAGGGTTTTTGTGGTCTAGCAGAGCTGTGCAACATTTAAAAGGTTAATCTTACATCTGCCACCTGGCAGCTCTTGGCCTCTGCCTCAGTGGAAGACAAGGGCAGCAGGGAGCTATGCACTCATCATTTAACACGCAGGGTTTTAGACACAGCCCATATTTTTTCCAGCATGAAACTCTACTCCTGACAGTCAGTGAATCCAAAGATCCCTGGGCTGAACTTTTGGTTCCTTTCTGGGTCAGGGAGTGGCTTGAGTTGGTACAGCCGCCTGTACAATGACAGTGTAGTACCATGGAGATGGCATGTGTCCAGCCCTTCTGCTCTGTTGTCTACTGAGATGACCTGTGACCGGCGGGGCGCACGCGCACACGCACGCACGCACACACACACGCACACACACACACGCACACGCGCACACGCACACGCACACACACGCACACACACGCACGCACGCGCACACACACACACGCACACACACACGCACACGCGCACACGCACACGCACACACACGCACGCACGCGCGCACACACACACGCACACACACGCACGCACACACACGCACGCACGCACACACGCGCACGCACGCGCACACACACACGCACACACGCACACGCGCACACGCACACACACACACACACACGCGCACACACACACGTTTGCCTCACCCTGACCACCGTGACCTCCCACCCTCTGGGACCTACTGCCAGGGTGTGTTACCATCTACCACAGGTTCAGTCTCAACTCCCATCTTGCTGGCCACAGCCTCCTGTCCTGTTCTAGTTAGCCGTGAGACACTGTCCCTTTTAGTAATTTCCCCATAATTTATCAGAATTTCTGGGAGAGGTGGAAGGAAAGAAAAATGGCCGTGACTCTCTTCAGCTCAGAGTTGGAGAGCTAGCCCTTCCTCCTCAGGCACTTGACATTTCTTTACAAAAGCAGCATAATTGGTTTTAACAGAGGAGGCAACAACCTTCATTCGTTACCTTTTTTTTTTTTTTTTTTTTTTTCATCTAAGACGTTTAAAGAGATACCACAGATACAGAACTGAGAGGTATCCATTACTAAATGCCCCTAGGAAGTACCACAACTCTGGGAGGAGACCCTCCTCAGTGAGTCTGTGTATAATGCTGCTCTCTGGGACACAAACTCAGGGTAGATGGCCCAGAGTTCTCTGCCAGTCACCACCATTGGGAAGCAGTAGGGTGGGCGCGGAGGTGTGCCTTGTGACTCCTTCCTGAGGCTCATGGCCTTTCAGTACCCTTGGTTTTTGTAGTATGAGAAGTTGTACATGTCTGGGACAGTGCCAGGTCCTGTGACCTGTTCAGAGTCAGGAGTTACTCTTGATGCCATAGAAACATCTGTCCAGAGAAAGCACAGTGTCCTCCAGGCCCCATATCTTGGGTTTGACTCTGCCCATCTTATTGGGAAAAGCAGTAGCATATGTGCTTGAAGCCAGCATGGGGAGGGGGTACTTGATTCTTAATGGCTGCTTTCTGAACACCCCCACCCCTGAACAGGACATAGCCGTTTATCCACTCAGCCAGTGTTTACTGTGCTACCTCTGGGCCAGGTGAGGCTGCATGCTCGAGGCCCAGCAGGGACCCTGACAGGAGGCCTGCTCTTCTGAAGAGGAAGAGAATAAACAGGATGTTGCTGATAAGTACGTGGTGAAGATGGGCAGTGTCCAACTGGGCAAGGGCTAGTGGACAGGGGGCTGAGCACCGACTGGGGAAAGGAGCATTGACTGCAGGGGGGCAGCAGGGAGGATATGGCTGCCTGGACACTAAGAGTTCTCCAGTGTGGACAGATGATTTCTGGAAGTGGGTGACCAGCTCTGAGCCCATAGGGAGGTGGACAGTTGCTGCTCAAATCCCACCTCTGTAAGTGGGAACGACGCCCCCCTCAGTGACACTAATGGCTGTACGTCGGCCCCTGCCAGAGCCCTAATGCAATCCCACCTGCGTCAGAGGCTCCAGCCAGAGACTGAGTCACCCTGGCTCCCAGGAGAGGACACACCGAGAGAGAGAGAGCGGCCACGTCACCAGCACAGGCTGCTTCTCAGCACGGTGGTACCGCTGGGACATTAAACACATTCGCTTAGAGAAAAGCAGAGAAATAACTTCTGATAAGCAGTGCCTGGTAGTTAATGGGCCTCTGAGAGCTGTGTACAATTTAAACTTTTTATTAAAAAGAAAAAAAAAAAAGCTGTTTTGCTCTCCTGGGACTTGCACTGTGAAATTATCAACCTCACGGGCTTTACCCCCCTTTCAACGTGACTGCACATACAGGGGGAGCATTAATTTTGTTTTGTTTTGCTCACAGCCAAGAGTAGGCTCTGCCCTTCTGCCAAGGAGAGCACTCTTGGGTCTCTGGAAGGGTGGAAGGGCCCAGGGGGTTCTGGGGCCCTGGCCTCTGCCTAACCCTCCCCTCCTCACTGAAAGAGATGGGTTATTAGCTTCCTTCTATCAAAGGGGCCGAGCTCACCCAGCCGAAGCACCTCTCTGCCTCAGCATACCTAACCTAACCAGGTGGCCCACGACTCGCTGAGCAGTCCCAAATGACCTTCCTTGTTGCAGCAACCCCCCACCCGCCCCCCCCCACTCCCTTCAGAAAACCCTGATCTCTGGCTCCAGGCCCCGCTGCTCCATTTGGATCCAAGGCTTCCTTTACCGTATGACCTCTTGCCAGCCCCCTCTGCCTCCATGATTCAGTCTTTCCCCACCCAGGGATGACACACGTGGCCTGTGGCTTTCACCAGTTTCTGTTTCCTCGAGAGTCATCATGTGCCAAGGTCCTTCTGACCCCACGGGGAAGATGTAGAGATGGGGGCCCTGTCACATCCCTGGGAGCTGGCATTCTCTAGAGGAGCCAGAAGATACATACGAACAAAGCGAAAGCCTTTCAAACACTGGGTCACTGTGCCACAATGGTGGATGGAAGAGAGAAGACTGATCCTTTGGGGACAGTACCAGGGTGAGCCTTCCTGAGGCTGTGGTGTTCACTCTGAGAGCTGGCTCTTTCCTGGTCTGGGGAAGGACATGTGGCAAAGGTCCCCAGACAGTATGACCAAGAACCAGAAAGGCAGGTGTGTCCAGGGTGTGGGGAGCCAGAGCTGGGTGCTCTGAGCACACTGGGCACGATGGAGGGGCGAGGGTACAGAGGGCTGGGCTTACCTCTCTGCTTTATTCTCCTCACATGTGTCTGTTCTTTGGAACTGTAATCCCGGTGGTTGATTTTAATAACCAATAAGAACATTTTTCAGGCTGTTTAACTTTATTAAAAGATTTGAATTTGATTATGAACATTGGCATGGTTGCCCCAAGCCTCAGATATGAGGTTTGCTCAGCCATGGCTGGGTTCTCGACACCTACTGCCGTCCCTCCCCACTGCCGTGTAGTCCAGGACTGTAAATAATCTAATTATTTCTTGTACTTTGGTAAATATGCCAGGAACACTAGTGGCTGCCTGAGACCCACAGAGAATATTAACTCGGTGCTTTTTTTTTTTTTTTTTTTTTTTTTTTAGAGAATGGATAATAAGTTAGAGCAATCTCCTTGGACTGATTGAACCCCACACAGTCTCAGGGAGGCCAAGGGCTTTTCCTCTGTATGCATCATTAGCCTCATATAGGATTGTTCAAGGTCTGTGATAAGAGACTCGGTAGGAGGAGGAGGAAGGAGCTGGGAACAAGTTTCTCACAGTCCTGAAAACCCTTGAGCCCATCAGGACACCAGTTAATCTCTCAGTGTGCAGATGAGGCCCTAGGCCTATGAGCAGTGTCCCCACCGTGATGACAGCCCCCCTGAGCAGACAAGAACTCAACATATTAGCGTCACAGTGTGGGGACTTGGGGAGGCCAGGCTTGCTGGGTCTTGCCCCCAGATGCTGCCGTGTAACCTGGTGGCCCAGGCCTCCCCATCCCCTTCTGTTGACCGCAGTGAATTCTGGAAGAATATTCGGGGCTAATTACAGAGCACACCGTGCTGCAGCTATCATTAGTATTAATTAGTTTCCAAAGGCAGAAATGCTCTTTCCTCCACGGACTGTGCCCCGCTTGGCTAGCCCTAAGCTTGCGGGCGTTATGCGTGGGCGCGGGAGACTTCGAGGCCACAGCTTGCAGGGGAAAGGCCAAGGTCTCAGCTCAGATCAAGCCCTCTTTTCGTGCTCTGTGGCCCTGGAGGACCGGATTTATCCGTGTGCTCTGTTGCCAGCTTGAGGTCTGACTTAACAGAAGCAGATGCCCAAAGATGCCAACAGGCAGAACTCAAGTAAGCCGACTGCCCCCAGAGAGACAAGCCCTCTGCCAGAGAGCTGAGAAGTACTGAAAGCTCAAGCGGCATCTTTAATTCATGCCCTGGCTGAGTTTGTATTGCTAAATTCAAATTAATGATCTCTACACCACAACCCAGAACCTGGCCAAACGGCAGGAAGCACCCTTGGGCACCATCATAGCACATCCTCTCAGTCTCAATACCCAGGCAGGGAAGGCCAAGTAGACTTACACCAACCACAGTGACAGAATTTAAACTAACTGCACGTTTTGTGGCCACATTCAGGCCTGTGGTCTGGGACCCCTGGCATTGCAGTGCTGTTGAGCTCTGTGGGACACTGGCTGAACCGGATGGAGGTGGCAGGGTCATATACCCATCCAAGACAGCGGTGGCGGTACATCGCACAGAGCCTGGTGGAGGACATCTGCAGGGCCACAGTGTCAAGGGGCCACTGGAAGTCAAAGACTGATGTCGTAGCCATTCAGAGGGGGCCAGTCCTTGAACCAGGAGTAGTATGGGGAGAAGAGTGACAGGTGGACGCCACCCAATGCGAGGGAGAGGGAGGGGATTCTGCATTGGAGGCCTGTGCTGTGAGGGCCTGCCTTTTGCAGAGCTCCAGGGGAGCCTGGAAGGAGTGGGTCGTTTCTCAGGAGTGTTGGGACTGGACCCATCTGTGGGCCTCTGCCCAGTGAAGAGCAGGCTCTGCCCACGGGTGTCTTGCTCCATTTTGAACAGCTCATACTCTATATGTGGGAGCTTGACGCACAGTGGTAGGCACTCATTGGTGGCTGTGCCTTCTGACCCGACTCCTGGGCCTCCACAGCTGCTTGGCTTGGAGAAGTTGAGTGTGGCTGTAGTGACCTGGTCGGGGGGGGGGGGGAGTGTCACATGGGCCCGTGTGACCTCAAACGTCAGCTCAGTGCCACCATGGACCCTGGGGGGGGTGCCAGCTGCAAACACTGTGAAGGTGGGCTGGCAGGGTCAGGGAAATGGTGGTAGAACCCTTCCCAGGCGCGCTTGTGGTCATGGAAGGCCAAGAGCGGAGTGAGGAACAGCACAGCAGGCCGTGCCTCGCAGCCCGTGCCCACCCAGTGGCCACCCAGGTGCAGTGGCAGGGCTGGCGCAGTGGCTGGCGGGAAGGCAGTAATAAGACTGCAGACCAGGCAGGGCCAAGCGCGGCGCTGCCAATGTTGGTCAGGCGCCAGGCAGAGCGGGCTTGTGACTGGAATGGACTCCCAAGGCGTTAGTCAGGCGACGCCCCTTCCTGGTGGCTCAGCTCCCTTTGCCCTCCCGTCTGTCTTCTAGCAGATGGGCCTCCTTGATGTCCTTGGGTTTTAGAAGAACCCCCCACCCCCAGCCTCTGCACATGTCCTGAGCAAGGTCCAGGCTCCTACTCTGGGCCTTAGTCCACAAAAAGGCCTGAAACTTATAAAGCAGGCTCAAGACCTGACCCATCACCCCCTCGTAGATAACCTCCTCGGCAGCAGCCCTGACTGCTCCCAACCCTAGGCTCCCAGCAGACACAACTTGTTGAATGACTAAGAAATGGGCTGAAGTTATGGTGGGTGTTAGGTCCCCAGATTTAGGTCCCCAGTTTGCTCACCACCATTGCCCCTTCATTTTTGCAGGCTCCCTCGCGCGCTGGGGGCCATGTTGAACCCCGCCTGCAACTGTTCAACCAAGTCTAGTGAAACTCAGAGGCCAGGCGGCCTGCCATAGTCGTTCATAGTGTAACACAGCCCTGCAGAGCTTGTCCCAAAGCCTCCATGCAGGTTGCACGTTCTCTGCAAGGTTGCACATTCTCTGCAAGGCTGCCATGGTTATTTTTATTTCTGTACATGTGAGGTGTGTGTGTGTGTGTGTGTGTGTGTGTGTGTGTGTGTGTTGGGGGCAGGGGTGGGTAGGCACATGTGTAGGCTGGAGGTCAACATCTCCACTATAAGGCATGGTTTCTTAGTTGATCCAAAACTTGTCAATAGGGTTAGTCTTCTTCCACCCATGGGTTCCCCTTGCCTCTGCTTCCTGAATGTTGAAATTACAGCCAGGCTGTCACACCCATCCAGCATTCAAGCAACATCTGGGAATCCAGACTCGAGGCTTCAACCTTCCTCTGCAATTGCATGAAACAGTGAGCTTCTGCCTCGCCCTCTCCCACCTGGCTTCTATCTATCTATCTATCTATCTATCTATCTATCTATCTATCTATCTATCTATCTATCTACCTACCTACCTACCTATCTATCTATCTATCTACTTACCTACCGATCTACCTACCTACCTACCTACCTACCTATCTATCTATCTATCTATCTATCTATCTATCTACCTATCTATCTATCTGAGATAAACGTCTTCTACTAGTCCAAGCAAACCTTGAATTTGATTTTTGCTTGGACAGGCCTTGTGCTCCTGATTCTCCTTCTATATAGCTCTGAAGTGCTGGGATCATGAGCATGTACCACCCTGCCCAGCCTCCAGCATTATAACAGATAAAACCAGTTGCCCGGGAGTGGTGGGATTTGCAGGGCCGCTCTGCTGCCCAGGGTGTACACTAGCTTCTTCCGGCGTTGGATTACTTGAAGTCATCCCAGGTTTGACTTTGCTAAGGTGAGTAAAACCCAGCAACAGGAAACAGACATGGAATCTAATTGGTCTACATTTCGGAGTGAAAACATCTAGTAGAGGCCAGATGAAAGCTAGACACAGACTCCCATCTCCTTCTTGCTGCCCTCTTCCCTTCCCTACCCCCTTCTCTTCCTTTCCTTAAAGGGAGTTGCTGTCACAACACAGAGCCTTCTGGGCAGACGTGATGACCTTGGAATAGCTAGTACTCAGCACTGACTGAGAGCCAACAGACAGCCCTGTTGCTGCTGCTCCTGAGGGAAACTTGGGGACCGAGGCCCAGGCAGAAAAGGCAGTGGGTGGGGGGCATTTTTTTCTTTTGTTTGGATTGTCACACTTTCAAAGCTCTTACTATTAATATTTATTCCTGTGAGGAAGCTGAACTTCTATTTCTATAACACATGACCCTATATCATGTTTTATTTCTGGATATTATTCTTGTGATCATTATTATTTTGAGAGAGAGAGAGAGAGAGAGAGAGAGAGAGAGAGAGAGAGAGAGAGAGAGAGAGAGAGAGAGAGTCATGCTGTATAGCCAAGACTGGGTTCAAACTCCAGGCAATCTGTTTTGCCTCAGCTTCCAAAGGGCTCAGATAACAGACAAGCATTATGATGCCTAGCTACTTGGGGGACTCTGAGCTGAGGACTGGCAGGCACTTTGGGACAGCGGTAAATGGCGGCAGACTTGTTTGTGATGGAGGAAGCAAAGGCAGTTAGCTAGAGTGTCAGTAATTGGGAGTCCGGCTGATAAGAGTTCCCTCTAATTTAGGCCTTTTAACCCACATTCTGAACTATGCTCACACTAATGTGTATTGACAGGACCAAATGCACAGCATTGAAATAGTCCCAGAGTGGCTCTTTCCTGCCACACACACACACACACACACACACACACACACACACACACACTCACACTCATAGCTTCCTGTGTGAATGATCCCCTGTGCAGAGACATTGCAGGGGCTGGCTCGCCCTTGTTTGGGGCATAGCAGAGCTTTAAGGGTGGTTGAGGGGGAAAGAAAATGCATTTCTCACTCAGGGAAGTTCAAGGAGGTGACACAAAGCTCCTGTCCCCATGAAATCCATCCAGAGTCCTCAACACAGACCGGAGGCCTTTGTGTTAGTAGATAAAGCCCCCAGACTCACACTTGCCAATTCATGCTGACGTGAGCCTGTCTCACCAAGCTGCTCCTTCTATGGCACCTACCACTTTCTAATTAAGGCCCAGAAGTGATGCCTTTCGGATGACTGTGGTGGAGAAAGACTGATTGATTAATATTCTATATCTAGGCAATAAGTTTGGGGATCAAATTGGTTTTAAATTAACTTCTAAAAAATGTTCGTGTTTACCATCTGGTTTGGGTCACGGGCAAGGCTCAGGCCCTGAGAGCAGAAGGTAAGGAACAAGGTGCTATTTGGGGATTTGACTGCAGCATTTCCTTCTCTCAAACAACCCTCCTCCCCCTCCCCAAGAGGGGAGCTGTGAGCAGACCTTTAATTTAATGTCTGTGCATCTGGCACTGGTCTGCAATGACATATTTCTATGTGTCTTGTTTCTCAATCACTTTTCCGGCCTGGGTAGATCACCAGGGCTGGCTGGGTGGCAGGGAGGGAAGGGATAGTGGCCCCGAGCTCTGCCCAGGAGAGAGGGTGCTGTCAGCCCTCATAGTGTCCCTCAGAACAAGGAGGTGGGGGCCTTCCTCAGGATTGTCCTGAGCATCATAGACAATTGTCCAAGGGATTGATTTTCAGGTCATCTAAAAAGAACCGTGAGGGACGGTGGTACGCACCTTTAATCACCTGAGAGGAGAGGCAGGCGATCTCTGTGAGTTCAAGGCCAGCCTGGTCTACAGAGCGAGTTCCAGGACAGCCAGGGCTACACAGAGATACTCTGTCTGAAAAATAAAGAAGGAAGGAAGGAAGGAAGGGAGGGAGGAAGGAAGGAAGGAAGGAAGGAAGGAAGGAAGGAAGGAAGGAAGGAAGGAGACCCTTCTTAGGAGAACCTTGAGATGTTCCTTCTCTGCCTCCCAGATCCCGGGTTTTGGGGGCAGTTGAAAAGTGTAAGGCGGGCAGATGGGTGTGGTCTGTCTTTTATCACCAGTGCCCATCCTTTGGGAATCTGGGAAGAAGGTGCTACCAGATATCAGAAGTTGTCCCATTTGGCTTTGCTTGAGTGTATAGAACACAGTAGGTGTGCAGTATATGCTTCGTGACTGGAGGATGCCCAAGGCTCAAATGGCGCTGGATAAAGATGGCAGAACACATCCAAATTTGCCTCTTTCCCTTCCTTTGTTTTGTTCATTTTTGAGACTGGCCTCAAACTCAAAGCAATCCCCCTGCCTCTGCCTCCAGAGTGCTAGGGTTACAGATGTGAGCTACCATGCTCAGCTTGATTTTCAGGAATTACATATGGGGTTCAGTGGTCCGAAGTTCCTAACCCAGAGCCCTAACCCAGTTTCATCTCCGTTTACAGTAAGCAGCAAGTGCCAGCGTCCCTGTACCTGTGTGTCACCCCTGTCCCGCTGCCATTTCCCAGCCGCCACTTACCACTGCTTGGGCTTGAGGGGGAAGAGAGAGTCCCTGCTCGCCACAGCCTCACATTTCCAGGCTATCTTAGTGGGGTTGGCTTCCGCTTAAAGTTATGTCTTCAATTTCTTTTCTCAACGTTTCCCTGAGCTCATGCATTACCAGCTATCAGACAGGGCCTCCGCACCGAAGACCACCAGCTCCACCCTTTAATAGTGTAGGGACAGACAGTATCCTTGCTTCCTGTACAGTTACGGTTATGTGGCTTCCGTGGGGATCACTCATGGAGAGGCAGTTCACTGTAGCTAGAGCCTCCTTACTCTGGGAAATGACTCGTAGTCCACCAGGGCACATGTTAGAAATGAAGACCGGAGGCCTCACTCTGGACCCACGTGTTCACAGAGGCTCAGGTCCTAACCCAGAGTCCTTTGTTTCCACTAAGCTTTAAGCAGGAAGAGTTAGTACTCAAATCCCAACGCCAGCCACCTTTGTTCACTCTACCAACTCCGTAATGTCCTTGGAGTTTTGATGCAGCGTGTGCATGCGTGCATTTGTTCCCTGGTCCCCGGGGCGCCTCTGGGGCTCCTGAAGGGTGTCACTGAGAGGGTAGGTACTGCAGTCCCAGCAGAGTGTCCCCAGCGCATGTGCCAACATTATGATGAGCCCCATGTTGGGTGATACCAAAGACCTCCCCTGATGGAGTGCTTAGTGCCCAGCTGAGGAGCAGTGCATGCTGGGTGTCGGACGATGTGTAGAGTGGGTAATAGAGGGGCCCGGTGAACTGAGAACCGAGGAGGGGGAAACCAGCCGGCACCATTGTGCTCCGCAGGGACAGGTAGGGGGTCTTGGAAGAATCGTGAAGAACAAATCCAGAGGATGTACCCTGAGAGTGACGAGGCTGGGGAGGGTGAACTTTGTTACTCTCTACAAAATACCATCTAGCCTTGCAAAAGCTGAGAATGGACGGTGCAAGCAGAAGGAATAGATCGTGCTAATACCCTGACATTAGCTGACCAGAGCTGAAGGCAGCAGCGCAGAGGCCCTCAGCAGGACCAGACTCTAAAGGACCTCCTGGGTTGGACCCCGGAACACGCCCGGAGGGGCCCATACTCACCAGAACACTGTGCAGGGGGCACTGGTAGCCAGCAGGAGGGCGGAGCTGCCTCTCTGCCCAATCCGTGTGGACATCCCCAAGGGACAGCTCCTTCACTAGTAGGGTACCGCCCCAGGCTGCTGTTGCATGTGGTGCTGCAGGTGCAGCAGACTGAGTCCATGCATGCTGAAGCCCAGTGCTGCCACGCAGTCACCTGGTGCCTGGGAGCTCAGTAGCTCATACAATGTCCCCAGCATCCAGGCCTGGCCTGGAGGCAGCCATCCGTACGGTGCTGCCCAGCCTGGGCCTGACTGAGGCACCTGGCAATGTCAAGCAGGACGCGGTGCCTGCGAAAGACTATGCCCACCTTATGAAGATGGCAGTTGGCCTCTGTGGCACCCTGGGTGATCCAGGAGGCTCGGCACAGATGGATTTTGCCCTTGATAAGCAGTGAGTGGGCAGGCCCCTGGCAGGAGGGGTCAGTGTGGTAGAACTGGTAGGCTCGGAAGAGACAGTTGGAGTAGAAGGTGTAGGAGCGGGTGAGGAATTCTGGTCCTCAGCTGCTGGGAAGAGATGGGTTTTAGACAGAGACAAGAAACCCTACCTGGGTGCCCCCTTCCCTCTGGGTTGGGCTCCCATGTCTCCAGGCTCCTTCACCCAGGCCTGGGCCCCAAGCTTTCTTCCCCAGCTGCGGAGCGTTCTCAATCTTGTGATCTCCGTAAAAGCTCTCCTGTTCTCCTTCTGGTCAATCCCATGGTCCTAACTGGGGCTGTTGCCACCATCTACCACTCAATGCATTCTTAGCTTGCGAGGAGCCCTGGCCTCTTCCCCAGCTGAGTTCTAGGGCACTGTTGCTCTGACCCGGACTTCCTGCTGAATGAAGCAGGCAGAGGGGGTAAGGGGGTGGTGGTGGTGGTAGAAGAACCCTTCAGTGAACTGCTTCCTTTTCCTGGTTTATTCATGCAGCAGTGAGCTGTTTCCAGAAAGGGGTTGGATACTTTGTGGGTTGAAGGCTGATAGGAGTTCGGTTGCATTGCCTTGGGGGGAAAATGACGGCTCCCAAGCCAGACTGGGAAGATAGGTCAGTGGGTAAGCTTTTGCCACACAAGGGTGATGCCCTCTGAGTTTGATCTCCAGGTTCCAAACAATAAAAAGCAACTGTGGTGTGTTCCTGTAACCCTAGGTCTGGGGAGGTAGAGGCAGGAGCATCTTTAGGAACTGATGGAGATTCTTAGGTCCCTGTAAGAGACTCTACCTCAAAGAGAGAGAGAGAGAGAAAGAGAGAGAGAGAGAGAGAGAGAGAGAGAGAGAGAGAGAGAGAGAGAGAGAGAGAGGAATTGAGGAATTGAGGAATTGAGGAATACACCCACATCTACCTTTGCGGCATGCGCACGCGCAGAGGTGGGCAGCTGATCTAGCCTCCCAGGATCTAGTCTGTTAGCAATGTAAACAGGCCCAGGGCTTGTACAGAAGGGGAAGGAATGGCTCCTGGATCCACAGTCACGGCCAAGGGCAGAAGGACATCCCTGTGGAGGGCTCATTGTGGTGGGTGGCAGGGGATACACCCTCATTCCCTGGTGCCCACCTGGATCGCCACCTTAATATGTATTTTGTACTAAGGTTGCTATCATTGGAGCAGAAAGGGCTCCCTTGTTTCCTGCAGGCTTTCTGCTAACATGAAGGAGAAAGCCTTGGCTGAGAGCTAATGAGTCTTAAGCCTCAGCTCCCTTTGCTCCCAGAGAGCAGACGCCGAGCCTGAGATGGGCCGTGAATCTAGAGAGAACCCAATTATGTGGTTTTGTTTCACTGAGTCTCCCCACAGTTACTTCTTATTTATGGCTAGTGACTGTTCTCTGCACAGAGCTGTGTTAGGCGTCTTTAAAAAATAATTATATTACACTATAAATGTGTGCTGTTTACTGTATGCCAATTATACCCCAATAAGGCTGTAAAAATGCATGAATGTGTTTAAGTAAACAAGAGTAAGTTGGGCCGAAGGAAAACAGTAAGTGGCTAGCAGTCCAGACCATGGCTAGAGTGAGGAAAGGCAGCCTGCACACCTGAGAACCTCACACAGTCCTGCAGCATGGCGTGACTTCCCCGGGGGCATGCAGAGTGTCACCTCACAGCCCAGACTACTGACCCCTCTCCTACACTCCTCTCAGAAAGCAACAAGTACAGTGGGAACTTTCTAGGAAGAAAGTTCTAGAAATTTCTTAGAATTGCTCCCGAGTGTTGTTGCTGGATGTAGGAGGAGCAGCACAGCTCAGCATCCCCCTGTGAGCACTCAGGGGCCCTGCCAGGAGCTGCCTGGGTCCCAGCTGGGCTGAATGAGGTAGGAGCTGCGGCCCCAGAGCCTGGGAAAAGTGCTAGAGGCAATTTTGAGAGCTTGCGCCCTGCCCAAGTGCTAGCAGATGTTTGGCAGGCAGATTTCTCCATGAGCTCAGGAGGCACCTGGAGGACATGGAAAGTTCAGTCCTTGACCCCCGAGTGGGATGGGGTGAGGAGACCTGAGGGGGTAAGCGAAGGAAGTCATGACTCCCCCTCAGCTCCCACCCTGGGAGGAAGAGTGACCTATGGCTGGGTCGCAAAGCAAGCCGCCCCTGCAGTGAGGTGGGCGTGTCTGCAAGGGTCTGAGAACCGGGTGGGGACTCAGACACTCTCTGGCTGCCAATTGCCGCCCTGCCCTCTTTGTACGGGTTGTGCCTTCTGCCTGCCTCTTGCTGTAGATCTCAGAATGCCACCATCCCCAGGAGCCTTCCAAGACATTTGTTGCCACACCATGGGTTCTTGCTTTGCAGCTCAGTTGAGCGCCATGCCAAATCTACATTACACACTTCACCGTTTGCCTGCTTAGCACATGTCCTTCTGCGCGCCCTGCGCAGCAGCTGGCCAGAGGAAAGCCTGAGTGTCTGCAATGGGTTTCCACGCGTGTATCATTCAGCTTAACTGTGGTGGTTGGACATGGTACCTGATGCCACCTCCAGAGGGTAGAAAGCCAGCCATGAGTTTGGCAGGCAGCCTCTGGGGTCCTGGGAGCATGGTCCTAACTTCTTTGAGGTTGATGCTGGGACTCAGAGGGAGACATCTCCCAGTCCGGCAGTGCATGGTTGGGAGATTAGGGGAGTCTTACCTACCCAGTGGAGATCCATGGCCCACTGAGGTGTTGGGGCAGGACCATAGTGATGGGCATACCACTAGGCACTGGCTGTTGGCTTTGGGGCTCCCAGTGTAGATGGCCACCTCCTGAAATTCCATCTGTTTCTATGGCACTAGCTGCAAAGGAGAAAGAATCCAGTCGGAGATCCACAGGTTCCATGCATACTGCCTGACCCACATGTTTCTTCCCATGCAAGGACCTCGGGCAGTCTACGCAGACACCTCCGGCTCCAGAGCACCCAGATGCTTGTTGACTGCGTACAGCAGGGTTGTTATTGTCCCCTCCTCTGTACATGGGACACACAACAGAGCCTGGCGCACAGCACTCAGCCAATGCTTGCTGAGTGCATGGTGGTGCCTAGAGCCTGAGCAGGAGACCAGCCACACAGACCACATCCTGCCTGGCCCTCTTCCCTAAGCCCAGGATAGACTGGCAAGGGCGTGGGACAGCATGGGGGCAGCTCCCTTCAGATCCCAGCTGCTGCTTAGATTTGAGTAGCAAAAACCTTCAGCTGCTGAGGAACTGTAATCCCCGTAGAGCTATCACCCCACTCAGAAGGACAGTTGACACAGCCCAGATGGCAGGATGCTAGCTAGTGTGAGCAACGTCCAAGCTTTACAGCAGAGACTGTCCTCATAGTGGCCCCTGACCCCGGCTGCTAGCCACTGCATCAGGCTTGCCAACCCAGCCCTTCCCACTGAGGCTGAGGCTGAAGTGGGTCAGGAGGGGCTCAGAGAGCTCTGGCCAGCCAGGGCCTCCAGGGAAGGCTATGGAGGGCGTGGAGAAACTCTCCCACGGTTATTCCCATCCCTTCTCCACTGCTGGCTCACAGGTTCCCAGCTGGGCGTGAGGGAAGGCCAGGGGGGTCCCATTTTGCCTCTCAGAGCTCTATCTGGTTCTCACTGAGACCTCAAACTTGCCCAGCGATCTCTCAGGAAAACTTACATTCCTGGGATCTGAAGTCACATTCAGGGTCCCTGAGGACCCTGTGACTAGATGAATAGTGTAGCTGGTGGTGATGGCATCATCGGTCAAGTAAGGGATGCAGGTGGCTTTACAGAATATCCTGCAGTCTTTGCAGCCACCCTAGGAGTTGGTTGTGGTTTGATGGCTCTGCTCCATGGTTTTGTAGCACTTGTCGAGAAAAGCAAGAGCTAGCGGAGCCCAGGGTGCTGGGATTCAAGCCTGGCATAGACTGTTGCTTGTTGGGGTTGCCGCTGAGAACACTGGGGGATGATGTGCAGTATAGACAGAGTACAGGACACACACCTCTGTGAGTCCTGTACTCTGAGAGATGGTGAAGCATGACCAAGTGAAGATCTGAGCGTGGTCCTTCGTCCTGCTGGTCAATGGATCAGTTGACCACGGCCAGACAAGTAGGACAAACAAAATTCAACAGCAAGGAGTCTTACCGCAGACACACTGTCGTTGGAGAAGCAAGGCTGATGGAAGACCTGGAAGGTGGAAGGTGGGTTTTTCAGAATTAATCTGGCACAATGTCAATAAGACAAAGGAACCCGAGCCAGGCCACTATGATGGGCCCAGGGGCATCCACTCTGAGCCCACACGCCCTGAATGGAGACAGACTCTCCTAAGCTGTCAACCCGAACACATTCTGGTTCCTCTGAGCCACTGTTATGGTCTGAAGCTGCTGGATTCTCTGGATTCAATTCTGCAGGTTAATTTGAACATCACCAGTGTCAATGAAACCTGTCGGAAAGTGTTGATTTGGGAGGCAGACGGAAGCAAAGAAGAATCAGGAGGGGTCAGCCTTATTTGCCTGGTGGGGAAATGAAGCTTACATTTCACAATGAAATAGCACAGGGGCCCTGAAAATTAGAGTGTTGTCGTCTCCATGAGTCTCTGGCTCTTGAAGAGATGTTCTCTGTGTTGAGAAGGAAGCCATCATTTTGTTTCATGTGCCCCCTCCCTCCCTGAAGGCACCAAGAAGAGATGTCATGCTCTGCCACCAAGCCTCAAATGTTATTTCCCTCTAAGTGTATTTCCGTTTATGTTGTTTTTCTGTGAGAAATTAGGATTTAATTATGTTAGGAGACTGTGAGATACAGTCAGGCCTCTTTGTCTTCAGAACACGAACACACACACACAGAGCCCAGCACACTATGGAGACCTTAAAAAATAAAATAAAATAAAATAAATAAAATAAATAAAATAAAAAAGCCCCGGGGCCCAGCCTTGCCACCTTCCCATAGCCTCAATGTAAAGGTTTAAAAAAAAAAAAATCAACAACCAACCCAACTTAATAGTTAGAAATAGTCTCATGATGTTGCCCCTTGACGCTTTGGGACAGACCTCCATTTCCTTTCCTTTCTTCTCCCGCTTTCTCTCCCCCGCCCCCCAGGAAAGTCTTAACTAGATGAACCACTGCCGGCAGATGGGGCCATGGCTGGGTCATGCAACTCTTTGCAGGGACCTGAATGCAAGGACCAAATTGATTTTTATCAACCATGGATTTTTAATTAACAGTGCTGTCCACTTTACTGCCGTTCAGTATTTACTGTTTACCCACTAATTAAAAATTATGCTGCTTTTGCACTCATAAGAGTGGGGACATTTGAAATTAGATAGCATCGTTCAAATTACCTGCAGAATTAAATTTAGAGTACCCAACTGCTCAGACCAGGCTCCCAGAGCTGAAAATATGATCTGCCGTGGCCCGACGTGTTAGCAGGAGTTAGAACACCAGGGACGGGCCACTTCCACAAACACCATATGGGGCATGTTTGTGGCCTTGGGGAGTATGGATGCTTGCTGAGCCCCAACTGTGGGGCCCTAGAGAGACACTGGGGTTCCCACATCTACAGTCCTGGGGGACACAGCATCCTCTGCCTGGCCATTTCTGGGGACTGCCAGAAGTCTGCGTGGCCACCTGGAGTTCAGGGCCATCCACACCCTACAGTTTCGGAACCAGAGACTCGGGGGTAGAGGGGCTTAGCTATCGTCACCCCCAGGATGTCATTTCCTAGAGAACCGTGTTTGCTGTGGTACCAAGAACGGAACACACTATCATCTCACACATACCAGGCAAGGGTTCCACTTGAGCTGTATTCCCAGCCAATTTCTGTGGGGTTTTGGGGGTAGGATCTTCCTCTGGGTCCAAGGGTAACCTGGGACTCACAATCTTCCCCTTTCTGTCTCCCAAATGTTGGGAAGGTAGATGTGTGTTTGAAAGCCAGCTCTTCAATGTGTGCGGATGTGCGTGCGTGCGTGTGTGTGTGTGTGTGTGTGTGTGTGTGTGTGTGTGTGTGTGTATGTGTGTGTGTATATATATATATATATATATATATATGAAGGACAGAGGGAACCTTGGCTGTAATTCTTCAGTCATTGTTTTGTTTTTCATCTCTTAGCTTGGAATTCTCTAAGCTCTCTTTTTAAAAACATGGGTGCTAAGGAATTAGACAACCTTTAAAAAATGCAGTAAAATGTATCTACTACAATAATCAGGGTTAGGTAGAGTGGCCTATGCACTTCTCCTCACAAGTTCAAGGCCAGCCTGGACTAGTAGTGAGACACTGTCTCCATGAACAAACAAAACCCACTCCAGCTTTATCCCTTCAAGCATTTTTTAAGTGTACCATTTAGTGGCATTTGGAATAATCACAATGCCAGGCAGCTATAATCTCCATCTAGTTCCAGAATATTCAGTCACCATGTAAGGAAGCTTGCACTCAACATTTGTCACTCCCCTTTCCTCAGAGCCTGCAAACCACTGCACTCACTGTTACTATAGATGGGCCTCGTCCATATATTCCCCATGGATGGCGTCCACTGAGCGGGCCTGTTTCTCACCAACGTCATCCCTAAGACCCAAGGTCACTAAAAATATGTAGTGGAGGCCTGGAGACCTGCATGCCCAGCCCTGAGAGCAGTGTGCAGTGTCCTTTCTGGAGAACAGGGAGATGACGAGAGAGACAGAGAGAGAGAGGGGGGAGGGAAGAGAGGGGGTAGAGAGGGGGAGAGAGAGATGGAAGAGAGGGAGAGAGTTTGTTTGTTTATGAGAGCACGTAGGAGGGCCAGGACCCTCTCTGCTCTGGCTGCCTGATCATCAGAAAGCAAAGTCGTGGAAGAGCGATGAGGGGGCTCCATGAGTTAAGTGCACTTAAAAATTTGAGTTTGGCTAGGTGTTGGTGGCGCACGCCTTTAATACCAGCACTCAGGGGGCAGAGACAGGTGGATCTCTGTGAGCGTGAGTTCGAGGCCAGCCTGGTCTACAAAGCTAGTTTCAGGACAGGCTCCAAAGCCACAGAGAAACCCCGTCCAAAAAAAAAAAAAAAAAAAAAAGCGAGTTTGGAGCCCCAGAACCTACGTGAAAAACCAGATGTGGCTTGGTGTTTCTGGAAGCCCAGTGCAGGGGTGGGGGGCGCAGAGCTAGAGTGGGGGGAGCGGTGTGGAGATGGGAAGTTGGCCAGTCAGTCTAGTAAAAATTTGATGAGCTTTAGTCAGTGTGCGGATGTGTGTGTCAGTAAGAGACCATTTCTCAAGGGAAAAAAGTGGAGAGCCATGGAGGGAGAGAGAGAGCTGACATCCTGTTTTTCATGAGTATGGATGCATGCAATTACACACAGACATTCACAGACAGGCACACCCAACATGCACCTCTCTCTCTCTCACTCACAGAACACACATTCTCTCTCCCTCTCTCATACACACACGCACACACTGTCTCTCTCAGACACACACACATACCCACACGCACACACTGTCTCTCTCAGACACACACACATACACACACGCACACACTGTCTCTCTCAGACACACACACATACACACACGCACACACTGTCTCTCTCAGACACACACACATACACACACGCACACACTGTCTCTCTCAGACACACACACATACACACACGCACACGCTGTCTCTCTCAGACACACACACATACACACACACACACGCTGTCTCTCTCAGACACACACACACACTGTCTCTCTTAGACACACACACACACACATACACACGCGCACACGCACACGCTGTCTCTCTTAGACACACACATACACACGTTCACACGCACATGCTGTCTCTCTCAGACACACACACACACTGTCTCTCTTAGACACACACACACACACACATACACACGCGCAC